TTTGGAATAACACCGGGGCGCCAGAGGGTGCTTTGGATGGTCTAATCCTTCCCGTCTCTACAAGCTCCTTAAGTTGTTTTCGAAGTTCCTCTAACTCCGGAGGTGCCATGCGATAAGGTGCCATGGTTGGGGGTTTGGCACCAGGCTCCAACTCAATGCGATGGTCTACTTCCCTCCTAAGCGGAAGTTTCTTTGGTAACTCCTTGGGCATCACGTCTTTATTTTCCTCAAGGACCTTTGCAATAACATTTGGTAAGTCATCATTATTTGTGGTGACTTCGGTTGCAACCGACAATTGAGCAATGAATGTCGGCTCACCCTTCTTCCATCCTTTCGCTAATTGCATAGCTGAAAGTTGTTGTGTTTCCATCCCCATGGAAATGGTAGGAACCATGCATGATGATCCCTTCTCCAAGATACACATCGAACTAAAGGAAGGCATAGGAATAGCATTAACCTTCCTTAAGAAATCCAAGCCTACTACTAGCTTGAAATCATCCATCGGGGCCACAGATATATCAACTGGTCCATGCCATGAACCCAACCGTAGTTTCGCTCTTCGAACTACACCCGCTAATGGCCTTGCGATTGCATTTACCGTCTTCATCAATCCACCTCCATGGTGAATACTCAATCCAAGCCTTCGGGCTTCATCCTCCGTGATGAAATTGTGTGTGGCTCTGGTATCAACTAATGCCCGTGTTTGCCGTCCATTGATTTCGACAAGTACGAACATCAATCATTTTTCTCCGTTCGCCCCCAGAACGATTTTGGCATTCAAAGCATTGAAAAGTTGAAATGAACTCATGTGACTTGCACCCTCCTCCATGCCATGGGAAGCCTCCGGTTGAGTCTCCGTAATAGAGGCCAAGGATCCAAGTTTAGGGCAATCTCGCATGAGACGTGGCCCTTTGCAAATGAAGCAACTACGAGGAGCAAAATTACCCCTCTTCTTATCATCATACTCCTTTCGCCAAGTATTTGGTTTGTTGCCACCGGGTTTGTAATCAACTTTGGGATTTGGCCTCCAGTTCGGCTTACTCTGTTGCTTATCTTTTCGCATATCACCTCTGCCTCTGCCAAATTCCCTTTTGTTGGTTTGAAAGTCCTTGCTTGTGACTCCGTATTCCTTTGGAACTCCGTCAAAGATTCGGCAACTGCAATTGCCTCATCTACATTTTTAACTCCGCGACGTTGTAATTCTTGCTGCACCCATGTGGTACATCCATCCATGAAATAGAATAGCAAGACATCCTCCAGCATGCTAGGGATTTGAAGCATAAGGGTCGTGAACTCTTTGACACAGTCACGAATGGTCCCTTTTTGTTTCAATTCCCTTAGTTTCTTGTGGGCCTCGTACACAACGTTCTCCGGGTAAAATTGCCTTTTTAGCTCCCTTTTGAACTCCTCCCAAGTATCAGTTCTGCTAGCTCCATGTTCAACATCGGCATGCTTACGACGCCAACAAAGAGATGCGGTGTCGGTAAGATACGTAGAAGCGGTCCGGACTTTCATGGCTTCATCAACAAGATTTACGCCTTCAAAGTAAACTTCCATTTGCCATAGGAAGTTTTCCACATCTTTGGCATCCCATCGCCTATCATAATGTTTAGGCTTCGAGTATTCAATCCTCGGGGCAACAATAGTTGAAGCGGCACCTCTGCTTGTACCAGCAGTGGAGTGCTTGTATTGTTCAAGCTCTTTGCTCATTCTTTCCATCATCATGGCCAATTGGTTAACTTGGCCCTGCATAGCGGTAACGGCATCCAAGACTTTGGTTTGGAGACGACTAAAATCATAATTACGGCTTGTTCGGCTACCACAGCTCGAACATCATCTTTCATCATTTGGACATCATTTTCCAACGATGCTTGTGTGTCCATCACCTCTTGGACATTGATTTGTAGAGTTTCCAATTTTCCAATGGCGTGTCCCTCCAACGCCTCGAAGGAGCTTTCAAGAGATTCGACCCGATCACCCATATTTGAGATGATTTGGTCAAGTTTACCTTCCATGTTGGTGGCCTCCCTCACCTTACTTTTACCTTGAGTTTTCCTTACTTCAGTTTGGGCAGCACCTCGACCCCTCTCCTCAATCTCAATATCAACAGTTTCTTGAGATTCCGCCATTATAACGGCCTACAAACGAGGCTCTGATACCACTTGTCATGGACCTAGTTTCGTTACACCCGAACAACTAGAATCGTGCGGCCTTAACGCTTGACAATTCCCGTACCTCACGAGACAACGTTAAGTCAGCCTTTCCACGCTCACAAATAATTTAACCAGGAAGGCTAAATTATACCCACGTTAGAAGAGAATTTAGAAGTAAGGGATATATGAAAAACAAGTAAGGTCGGGAAACTTTCTTTATATAAATGAAAGGGAAAACTTTACAATTTCTCTAATGAATAAACTCACTTAACTCTACATCATTTACAAATGAGACTTCCATCTCTATTTATAGGCAAAACTTAAACTTCCTTAAGATCAAGTGGCATTATTTTACAATCTACGCTTAGTTGTTCACAACTCGTGCTAATTGTTCACAACTCGTGCTAGTTGTTTACAACTCATGCTTAATTGTCCTCAAGTGGGTAAGCTTACAACTTTCCTTGCAAGTTGTCGCCAACTCGATCTTAGCTTGCATAGTAGATATTCTTCTTGCCAACTCGTGCTTAGCTTTTATCTTTGATAATATCTTGCAAGTGGCACAAGTGGACAAGTTGTGCAAGTTGCCTACTTGCATCCCAAAATATCCCGCTGCAGGTTCATGTATTTTTCCTCCAAAATGGCTGGGTCGAGATTTAGAAAAACCTCATTAACGCCATGAAAAACTGCACAATTTTAGGCAGCCTGCATTCTGCCCATTCCATCCTCCTGTAGCGTGCTGTCCACGTTGTTTTGCAACCGCTATCGGGACGGATCGAACGCGACCGCGTGGGGTGTAAGTGCGCGCTTTCTTCTCATCTCTCTTAGAGGGAAAGCTTCCTCCAGGCAGAGCTAAACAGTAATCAAAATTTATGTGAATAATTTTTTATTTTATTTTTATTTTTATTTGTTTTAAATTTTTGAAGGACCATGGTCAAGTCTAATAAATAAAGATTTGGTTGTGATGTCTCTCATTTTGTGAAAATTAAATAGTCTTGCTATCCAATATCCATGTCTTGATAAAGATTATAATTATAATTGCTATGATAAAAAACTTTGTGTTCAAATTAGTGTTTCAGCTCATTATATACATCAAAAGGTAAAGACTCTTAAATCATTAGGCCGCAATCAAATAGTTGCGATTTGAATTTTGAGAAATTGTACTCTTTTGTGAAAGACAACACTAAGTCTATTAATATAAGAATTTATCCTGGATATGAAACACTGTTCTAGTGTTCTTGTTTCTCACTTTGACAATGACTCGTTGACTTTACTCGAAATAGTATTTGTTGCAAATATTAATTTTTTGTTTTGCAAGAAATACTTGCTTTCTTTCTTGAAGTTGACTTCAGTAGCAAAAAATGCAATCAATTTTTTGAAATCATTGTGGCCTCGTTTGGGAAGGATTTTGAAAATTGATTTTTTGACCGTTAGAAAAAAAGTGAGGTCCACCTATGTAGAAGTAAAAAATTAAGGCTAGAATAGGGAAATAACGGTTAAAAAATCAAAATTTTTGAAGTAAAAAATCTCCCCCCCAAACAGGCCCTGTATCTTAAAAAGTGGCAGAAAAACTTTTGCACACCACGATTTGACTTAGAATATCAAGTTTTAAGGAAAATGATATTATAACGTTTGAAATTCTAGAGTTCAGAAAACCTTTGTGTGATATGTATGACTGTTACTAAAGGTAGTGGCATAAAAATTCAACTATATGAACTATAATTGTGGCCATTTTTGGTGAAAAAATGGTGCAATTAAGACGCCATTCTGGAGGAAAGTTTCCACAAATCAGTGCTGTTGGGCTTGTACATTGAACTACCATTTGCCCTTGGACTACTCGATCCAGTCTGCACCCTTATCATGACGAGTGCAAGGCAAATACCTAATATTTGATTCTTGATTTCATTTGACAGTTTCAGCGGCTAATATTCCATTGCCTGTCATGATTCATGAATGGAAATAAGGCAGTTTTAGATTAGATTAAAGGGTTTTACTTCTTGAATTGACTTATATGGGCGGGTTTTAGCATGTGGCCAAAACTAAAATATGAAGAAACTACTAATTTTCATCGTTCAAATTTAGCGCATTTGGAATATGAACCGGCATGTGAATCCAGAAGTTGTCATATTTTGAAACAAGAACACAAACAACTCCTCCTAGTTAATACAGGTTAGTGACCTTGGATTCATCAAATTTGAACTTTAATTTGGTTTTATATATGTATTTTAATGAATTTGCTTTGTTTATTTGATTATTCTGTCTGGTGTGTATTCTCACTCCTTCAAAGGGTTGCACAAGAAAATTATTCTTATCTGTTTCGTTTGTTTCTCTTCATGTTTCTAGAAACAGACTTGATTCATTATATATTACGAGCATACAGCCTTAAAAGATATCAGCCCTGAAAGAAAATTCATGAGCTGTTCCAAAAACAACAATCTAAGTATGATTATTGATAAATTTGGCGTGGGTTGTATGATTTCTTTTTTGTCACTCCATTAGTTTCATGAATCCATTATTAGTTTCATGAATTAGTGTTCTTATGAAATGAAACGATAAATTTTCACATGAGACATTTTGATTATTAGATCCGTTATAGAGCACGCTATCGGCTTTCTTAATGAAACGATTGAAACAAACAAAACATCAATTATTTAAGTTGCTTGAGGGATAAACAATGCAAAGCCGGCTGATCTGTGAGCCCATTAATGTATTCTCTTGATGTTATCTTTGTCTTAACCAAATAATTCCCAAGTTGCCATGGACTCTGCATAAGAACAATGTCATTTACTTTGTGTCCTCAAGTGACAAACCTCAAGTGAATACCAATGATGTTTAAACCCAACAAGAAGATGCAAAATACAATGCTTTCAGCAAATTCTGTCGTTTTGATGCTACAACGCCTATATAAAAGAAGAGAAGAAGAAATAATAGACTTACGTCCCTTGCGGCATTGCCAAAATGAGTAGTGCATTAGTTTTAGTACTCTCTCTTTTGTGCCTCACAGCTTCTGCACAATGTTATGTTTGGGGAAAATATGGTCCTCTTGGAAAACTTACCAAGGTGAAACGCTCAAAGAAATCAGTCGACAATCTTTCTGAGGATGACGTTGTCACTGAGTATTCACCAGTTTATATAGCACCTCAGGAAGGATTAAAGGAAGCTGACAAGATCTTAACTTTGCCTGGACAACCAAAAGTGAATTTTTCTCAGTATTCAGGATATGTAACTGTTGATGATAAGGCTGGAAGAGCACTCTTTTATTATTTTACCGAATCTGAAGACCCTTCTAGCAAACCTCTAGTGCTGTGGCTAAATGGAGGTAAGTCTATGGTGTTTTCGATAATAATACATGCTTTACATGTTGCCACATCTCCTTTCCTTGTTATTACCTGCCATGTTTTTCATGGTTCTTTATGTTTTCTTGACCCCCAAATGTGAGTTTAGAGTGTGAATTTAAAGAAAATTAACTAAAGGGCTTGCACAAGTTCGGTTCGATTAACTTGTTTCTAGACTGTCATCTAGTGTATGAATGTGAATTCGCTTTCTTTTAGCAATCTCAAGCATCCTTGGAACTGCAGGACCTGGCTGCTCATCAATAGGAAGTGGAGCAATGACAGAACAAGGACCCTTTCGGGTTAATCCTGACGGTAAAACTCTATGGTATAACAAATATGCATGGAACACTGGTGAGTACTTGCATCCTTAAATATAGTAATCAAAAAGTATTTTTTTGAAAGTTCGGTGGCAAATGACAGAAACTTTTTTGCTGAAAATGCAGTGGCAAATGTCCTCTTCTTGGAATCTCCAGCTGGTGTTGGCTTTTCGTATTCCAATACATCATCAGATTATATTACTGGGGACAAAAAAACTGCAGCAGATTCATATACCTTTTTGGCGAACTGGTTGGAAAGATTTCCAGAGTACAAAACTCGGGACTTCTACATAACTGGAGAGAGTTATGCTGGTCATTACGTGCCTCAACTTGCTTATTTGATCCTCGAAAACAACAAAATCACAAATCAAACTGTGATCAACCTGAAAGGGATTGCTGTAAGTTTCCTGATACAATATGCCGCCTGGTTCTTTGATATATCTTTTCTATAAAAAATTATAAGATTACTATGGAAATTATTTTTCAGATTGGGAATGCATACATAGACTATACGGATAGGTGGACAGGCACTTATGACCATTTCTGGACAAGTGCTCTCATATCTGACGAAATTCATGAAGGCATAATTTCAAATTGCAATTTTTCTTCTGAGGCCACTGTTTCAGATGTCTGTGAAGAATACATGGATCAAGCAGACAAGGCCACAGAAAACATCTTCATCTATGACATTTATGCTCCATTGTGCAATTCCTCTTCAAATGCTCCCTCGGTATTATCTTAATTACTCAATTCCTTGTGAAATAAATTATTTTTCTTTTCTGTGGAACAGTATTCCATTCCTCACATTATATTCCTTTTGCAAAGCAGATATCAGGATTTGATCCATGCTCAGACAATTATGTCTTTGAATATTTAAACATCCCTGAAGTTCAAAAGGCTCTTCATGCTAACACCACTGGAGTTCCTGGACCATGGGCAGATTGCAGGTACTGTGCTTCTCCATCTGAAACATTTTTGAAACTCTTTTTCATACGATAATAGATTACAAGGTTCATTTTAATTTTCCAAAGATTTCCTCTATTAACCATACTCAATTTCTAAACAGCTACGACATAGAGTGGCAGGACATGCCAGATACAGTGTTACCTACCATAAAGAAGCTGATGGCTAGTGGCATTAGCGTTTGGATCTACAGGTATGATATGCTCGTGTTACTAACAGTTCTTAATACATCATTCAGCATACTTGTTAAAATTTCTTTACTAATTGATCCCTGAAAAGAAAATAATGTACTCAAACTACAGTATTATTTATATATATCATTAGCAAATAATCCCTTAAAAGTTCTGTTAGTTAATATTGTGTCATGTTGGTGATATTTCAAGTATAAACTTTCGATGTAAGTGCAGCGGAGATACAGATGGGATAATACCAGTTACAACAACTAGGTATTCAATGCCCAAACTTGGGGCACCTGTAAAGACTCCATGGTATCCATGGGACTCCCAAGGCGAGGTAATCACGAAAGAACTAACTTTATAACCTTGTTTAATCTACTATGTATAGTAACTTAACACACTTTATCTATCACATTCAAGGTTGGAGGTTATGTGGTTGAATATCAAAATGTGACATTTGTGAGCATTAGAGGAGCAGGACATTTTGTTCCAAGCTACCAGCCCGAGCGAGCACTTATATTTTTCTCATCCTTCTTAGAGGGAAAGTTTCCTCCGAAACAGAGCTAAACAGGAATAAAGATAAAGGCGAATAAAGTGTTTCAACTGTTCTTTTTCATATTGTCTTTGTGC